TGCAGTCGAACCTCTCTCCTTGAAGTTCTTGATGATCCGGTATATGGTTCTTTCAGGTGCAATATTCTTTGTAGCAATTTCCTTGCATGTGAGGCCATTTTGATGCAAAGCAATGATGGCTGTACGTGTTTCTTTGGAGGTAACCATTGCTAACAAGAACACAATGATTAGAAGCGCTTCTTCCCTCCTTTTTAGCAATCAGTCTGCTCTTACAATCTAATTAGTATGATAGTGATTAACCTGACTAGTAGGGTACAACGGGGCTAAAGGCCCACCTTAAGAAAAAATTTGCCATTCACTACGCCTAAAATGTATAATTGCAGAAAAAATATATACGTTGTATTGAACAAGACCTTTGTCTCAAAATATATGCATTAATTTTAGCGATTCTCATTTGCTACTTAAATCTACAATATTTAAAAAAACATAAAATATTTGATCAAGTAAGCACAGAATCAACTTTGCACTGCTGCGCACGATCGCGTCAAGGATCAGACAAATATACACGTGCATCTTGAAAAGCGAATGTTTTGGAAAGTGCTACACCACATTTTTGTGCCATCTAGTGGTTTAGATTAAAATAATATCAAAGGCGCCTTTTACCCCGGGGTGCCTTTAGCCCCGTTGTACCCTACTCATTCACACTTTCACATGTGCTGCTGATATGATTAGTCAATTAATGTTAGCTGGTCATTTTGTGTCAGGATCAAAAAACAGTGAAATTTGTTTTTTTTTGGGGTTTTTTTGTGAAAAGTTCATTTTTTTTGGTCAATGAAGCTTTTAGCAATTATTTAAAATGCATCTGATCACTCTAAACAATAATCTAGAAACATTGTGAATGAACGCCACAACAGCTTAAGATGCAAACTTTGCAGAAACACAAAATTTATGTCACTGCCAAAACTTTTGGCCACGACTGTAGAGCATAAAACCTTTGTTAGATGGCTAGAACCTCAGTAGTCTCCAGTTAAAGAAGGACAATTTCTCTCTGATGTACAAGAAACCCGTAAGACACATAAAGAGCTGGATGAGAGAAAATGAGGACTATGGATGAACAATATATAAATAAAAATAAATATAAAAAATAATAAAAATAAAAAATAATTTAAATGATGTAAAAAAAAATAAAAAAATAACGAATAATAAAATCATTTCAAATGAAATTAGTATTTCATATTCATATAATTGAAAAGAACTGAACTGAGCTTGATGATGACCACTAAATCAACAATGAACTGTTTTAACTGAATGTTCATATAAACAGTTGCATAAAAAGCAGAATAAAGCACAGTCAGAAGGTCATTGTACAAGACCTAATCACCCTGTCAGGGTTTATTTGGTGATTCAGTTATATATTGTCACTTATGTGTTTTTATATATAAATGTATACTTTTATATAGCAAGGATGAATTAAATTCCATTAATTTCCATTTTAAATAAATGCTGTTCTTTTAAACTTTTTTTTTAATCAAAGAATCCTGAAAAAAAGTAACCGTTTCCATAAAATATGTATAATAGTAAGTTAAATGTTACTCGATAATTATTCACTGTTTGAACATTTATAATAATAAGAGATGTTGCTTGAGCATATTAGAATGATTTTTTAAGGAGCGTGTGACTGAAGATTGGAATAATGACTGCTGAAAATTCTGCTTTGCCATCACAGGAATAAATTGCCTTTTAAAGTATATAGTAAAATATGTTATTTTATATTGTAATAATTATTCACAATATTATTGTTTTTACAGATAAATGCAGTCCTGATGTGCATAAGACTTATTTCAAACTAAATTCAATTATTAATGTTAATGTCATGCTGTTTTTTTTTTTAGTTTTCATGTAAGTACCTTTGGTAATTCAGTTGCATGTTGTCATTTGTCTGTGTATTTCTCAGACTGCTGAGGATGGAGATGAGGCCGCTGCTCACAGGAGCTTCATCAGTGTGAGTCTGCAGATGGGTCTTTGTGACTGGAGTGCCAAATACTTTGCTCAGCCCGTCATGAAGGTGAGTGTTGCACAGATCAGACGTCAGATCTAATTCATTTACTTCTAAAGCAAACAAATTCAGTTAATGTATTGACTTCAAATCATTACTTAAGATTTAATTAGGCTGATTTAAACATGTTGATTAAGCAAAAGTGTAATGATATTAGTAAATGGATGTGAAAGAGTTGAAGTCCTCTTCTAATATTATCAAAAACAATTTGCCAGAAAGTGAAGTGAAGGTTAGTGATGAAGTGTCTCAGGATTGTGTGTGTGATCATTTGCTCATTATCAGGGACGTGCACAGACATTTTGAGGGGCAGGGGCTCAAGTGGAAAAAAGGGCACTTCTCATATTTATTTTAATTTTTTCCTAAACAAAACATTAAATATATTAGGGCTATGCGATATTGACAAAAATATATATCGATATTTTCTGGGATTTTATCGATAACGATAATTAGACAACATTTTGCTGCGTGTGTTATTGTGCTGATATTTGATAAGGATAAGGTTGATAAGGACTACCGTAGACAGCTGACTTCTAAAGTTTTTGATATTCTGCATATTCTGTGTGGTGATCAGTTCACAACAGTGATAGAAATTCATCTTTTCCAATAAGTTTAAATTGATTTTTACCTTTTATGGGCATTTTTACCTTTATAAAGCCATTTTTTCTAAAAGTGTGCATCATCTTTTCAGTCAAATTCTTAACTTGAATCAGTCAATTCATATTATAAGTCATTTGGGCTGTTACCAAGCAAATGAAATCAGTACTGACAAAATTCATCTTTGCAATGCAGAGGAAACACAGAAGCTGCATTAGAAGTGGCATTTAGATGCATTTACACACTGTTTCATGCAGGACATTAATATTTTAACCTGCCGTTACAAATGCATTAATGCTGTTTTGATATTTTAAACATAAAATGTTGAATACTGATATTTTTTTTTTTTTTTAAGTGAAAAGATATTTTAAATGTGAAATTAAAACCGCCAGTAGGTGGCAGCAAGTCACTGTTAATAAGTCAGTGCGATTAAACCGAATAATTGAAATGGTTGATTCACTCAGGAACGAAACACCGTCATGTTGCTAAGAGATGCAAATTGGAATTATATTTGTTGGTGAAATAGAGCAAAAGCAGTCAATTGTGTCTAACGCAAGTGTATTACATTCTTGTTTATTGAACTGCTGTATAAAGTCTTCGTGTGATACTGATTAACTATATGAAATTATATAAATATATACATTTCTGCCCCCATGTCTTGAATTTTGTGATCAATCTAAATGCATTTTAATAAACTGAATCATGCAGTGAAAGAACGAGCACTGGTGTAACCTACTAGACTTCCTATTGCCTTAGCTAAACTTTAGCTAACGTACAGCTGAGTCATGGATGTTAGCAAGACAAATTAGCTATATTTAGCTTTTGTCTTTTGGATAATTAGCTGTAAATTCGAGGCACAGGTAGCTTAGTATGTTGCTCATCACCACTCACCTCCACACCAAGACAAACACTACTGGAAAGGGAGGGAGGGCTTCACTTCACTTCACTCTCTGCCTGACTAACTGTAATGTGTGCTACACTGCTGTGCTGCGCGGAGACACGGAGGGGAGAAAGTCTCAACATTTCCCGACCCGACTTGATATTTTGATTTTTTTATTTGTTTGACAGGGAAAGCTGTGCGCAAACAGAAACACACACATATATACATATATTCATTAAAAAAAATACTCCCCAGAAAAAAGGACAATTTCTCTCGAGGAAGAAAAAGGGCAGGTGCTCAAGCCCTCTTTGATGTCTATGTGTGCACGTGCCTGCTCATTATGACACAAACAGTGGTTCAGTTCCAAAACCTAGTGAGGTCCTTGGCTGTCTACTGCCTACAGCCATCTAGCCAAGAACAGCATCCTAACCAAAGTGGAAACTGTGAGGTTTGGTGCCAAGAACCCAAACGCATAGTTAGATTAACAAACTTTATTTATAAAAAATTAAAAAAAACCAAGGCAGAAAACAAACAAGAGCTGACAGACACTGAGTCTGGGACTACCTTTACCAGCAAGGACACTAGGAGAGGTGAAAGCCAAGCAAGCATCAGATCCAGAAGAACAATTCAAAGGGTGAATACATGTGAGAAATCAGAGCCAGGCAGGAGGTAGTAATGTTATCAGAATTTTTACATAAAAATACATCATAATTTAGAAGTAATAGGCTATTTTCTGTCCTGTTTTGTCCGCCCTCATCAGATTGCTCTGTTTGAATAGGCGTGGCGGATTGTAGACTTGGAAGTAAACGCCCACTGCTATGATTGGCTAACAGTTATGAATGTTTGACCGCCTACATCCTTCACAGATGGACGCTGCTGTGATTTAGGTTAAAAATGCATAAATACTCAGTACATATCAAACGATCTGTAATAACAGACAAAGCAATAGTGTCCACATAATAATAAAAACAGTTACTCACACTTGTGTGGTGCGACATTACTGTCGGATCCAATATAGTTGACACAGCATTGTCTTTTAGTTTTAATCTTTCAGAAAATTCTGTGTGGAATTGTGCCTTGTCTGTAAACGTATCCGTGGTAAAATGAAGTGAACAAAGGACCAAGTTCTTACTGACGCAGTCTGGAACTTCATGAAATATAAAGTTCACT